TTCATATATTTATTTCTTTTGTAAAATTTAACCAGAACATCCTTGAAGTTTCTAAGAATCAAATGGAATTTCAAATTATTCACAAAAATTCAAATATATCTTATGTGGTATCAGGATCTCATTATTTCTCTTGACACTCCACATAACACACACACACACACACACACACACACACACACACACATACACAAAGCACAAGCACTAAACAACAGTGTTTCTACCAAAGATGAGGAAAATAAATGATCCTGTGCTTATGCTTGCCCAAGAATTTTATCTTTTGTTCTTGCTACCGAGAAAATATTTACAAACTTAAAGGATCTAAAAGAGTTGCAGACTCTCCACCCAGCTTGGGAAGATAACACAACGATGGCAGAAGCCAGCCTGCTACCAGGCACTAAAGGTTCTGTTTTTGGAATTCTTAAGCACTATACTCCAGAGATGGTTTTAATTAATGGGAGAAAGTCAATTAATCCCACCATTCTTTCCATACAAACTAGAAATAAGCTACAAATTTGGTCAACAAAGAAAACCAAATGAGACAATGAAAAAGCCAATTTGAAATATCTAGCAAGTGGAACTGGATCACCATTTCAAAGAATAGCACATTAAAAAACCCTGAAGTACCATAAATGAACAGAGTCAAAGCCATTCTGCAGCATGATCTCCTATGAATATACTATGAGCCGGCCAGAGTGCTATCTAGAAACTGCCTCATAATCAGGCCCTTTCATTACTTAAAGTCCCCTAAATCATCTATTTTTAATTCCATTAGACATCAAGAGACAAATTGCTATTAGATTTCCACCCCTCGGTTCTGGGACCAGCCAAGTTGTGTTTGAATTCCATCTCTATGTACAAGTGACCTTAGCTGTGTGACTTAGAGCAAATCTGCTTCTCTTTGTATCTCAGTTTCCTATTGTGGAAAATAGGAAGAGTAACAAATGAGGGCCACTGTAGGACTGGATCAGTGTTTCAAGCCACACAACCCAAACTCGTGTGATACACACCAAAAGTGTATCTTTGCAGCTTGGTAGAGTAGTTAGGGGCATCTCTTTTATCTCTCTAATGAAGAATGGCTATAGAACTGTCTGAAAACTGCCTCAGAGTGCTACATGGTCAGGGGACTTCTGTTTGTTGATGGAGGCATTCACCCTACAGGGGTGCTGAGACCTTAAGACGCACTGAGTGAGTATTTGGGAGTGAATGAATGAAGCAAGAGCAACACCTTTCACTTGGGATATGCTCGCTGCACTTTCATTAATACTACTATTAGGATTATATTATCAGGTGCCAATATATTTTCAAGTCATAAAATGGCAAAGAACACACACAATTTATGATTGAACTAGGGTTCTGTGTCACCTTTCAAACACACACCATGTCCTTAGAGCCAATTGTGCCACACGGCTGTAAGACATGGAAGAGCATGCTTTGGGCTCATAATCTCTGATTGGTGCACTTTCAAAGATCCATGTTCCCATATCAAACTATTGTTTTAAACTCAACACAGAAAACAAAACCCAAAACTCCTCCCTCTTTTTAGTTTATAGCCATGACTGTGACTAGTTCTTCAGTTTGAGATAACTTTGGACAGTCTCTGAGTCCCTGGTAAAGACTCGGTGTTAATGTAGCAGGTGTGACAGCATTCACGCCACCTGAGGAATTTCACCCGTATCATGGGACTAGAATCACATGCTCTGCTGTCACTGGCTGGTGCCTGCACTCACCATCACCAATTTAAAAAACCAAACGCAAACATTGCAGCTCATTCATTAATCAAGGCTGAAGAACTCTACACTGACTTTTTCCTACCTAACAAAACATTTCAAACTAATTATGCTTATGTTGGGAGGGAAGCATAATTAACCTACTCATGTCAGGGGATATGCGTGATACAAATTACTCACAACTAAAGATTACTCATTACTAAAAATTACTGAAACTAAAAACAATCTGGGTTCACAATTTTCAAGACCAATGCCAATTCACGGTCTCCATTTAGGAAGGTTCACAAGCAAAGCTATGTGCAGATTACTCATCTTCTGTGCAAAAGGTGTGCAAAATGAACACAGGGCTTTGAAAGGAAGGGAGTCCCCCAAAATGAAAATTCCCTGTCAGCTGAACTCAAGAAGAAAGACGTCGGTGGGGTACAATGTTGAGATTACTACAACACGGGGGCTACAAACAGCCTCGTTTTCTAAAGAAAGAGATTTATGTCAAATATTTTACAACCTCTATTAGAAAGAGCATCTATTTCAGCCCCAGCAGGTATTTTTACAATGTGCTAAACCTACACTGAAATGTGCAAGCATCTTAAGGGCTCATTCTGGTTTTCTGGAAACGAAGCTTTCAGGAACCACTTGGCTTATTTTTACCACCAATTAAGTGGACCTCTGAGCACTGAGATAGGAGCTCAGGCACTAAAATATGCCCAAGACTATCAAATTAGCAGGCCTTTGTACTCTGCCTAGGTTGAGAAAACCAATTTGAACATTTGACTCAGGGAGTTGGTCAAGCCAGTTACAAAGAACTTTGATCCAAACTGTTTTCACCCATTTTCACACTGAACTGATCAAATGAATCTAATCACTGTGGTACTGTGCTTGCCTGCCCTCCCTGTAGTCCTCACACTCAAATGTGCAGAGCTGACTAAGAAGCTTTCTCTCACCCATGGAAATCTTGGAAGGAAAAACTGCAATAAACTATATAACCTTTGGGAAGACAGATAATTGAACAATCCAGACATAACTTAAATTTAAAATGAATGTCTCAACAACAATATTATTTGTTTCAATGAAAATCATACCAGTAGGCTTTGATTTTTTTTAATATCTAAAAAGGTTTTTTTTTTAAAAAATCAAATTTCTGATCATTATACTGAATAATGCACCATGACAGGAAAGTTTTCTCTTCAAAGCATAAGAGCACCAAGATTTACTTATAAAAGTGGGGGTTAGGGATGGGATAAGAATAAAAAGACCTTTAAAATTTAATTATATTATATGGAGGTGATTGGACTCAGAAAGACAAAAATCGCACATTGTCTCTCATATTTGAATCCTAATATATACATATAAATAAGAGCGTGTAAGTCAGTACAGGCTATGAAACCTCATAGACCAGGAGAGGGGAAGAAGAGGTTGAGGTAGGGATGGGGAAGGCTAACAGGACACAAGTCACATGAAAGCAGAAAGGAAGCTACTGGGGGTGGGAAGGTCCCGGGGGAGAAGAGGAGGAGGGATAACAAAAGCAAAGTTTGAGAAACAACATGCTTTGTATGCTGATTTCAAAAAATCAAACACAATGAAATGGCAAAACTAACTCCATTTTGTTCTAGCTGACTTTTGCTTTACCCTATGTTTTTGGGCAGCCATTTCCACTGCTGCTAGCCAGGCAGAACCTCTCAGCAGGCAGTTTCAGGGAGTACACTGTTTCTAAATTATTGGGAAACTTAGAAGCAGCCAGGCAGCAGTCCTTCCACCCAGCCTAACTGAAACTTACTTGTTAACTGAGAACCTCGTTGT